CCTTTTAGGTGCAGGACCACTGGAAGAAACCCGTCAAAGGCCGAACCGCGATCTGCTCGCAATCCGCGCGCTGACTTCGCAGCGTCTAACACCTGGACAGGCAAGTGATTCTTAGCATAGAAGAATTCCCCTCCTTCGCAACTCTGCTGACTGAGCTTGGCCTTTGGCCTGGCTGGATTGACTAGAAGCTTGAGCAAACATTGTTTGGCCTTCTTTTTCCAACCTACAACTGCTCCTGGCAAAGTGTGTGTTTCACAAAGTGACATATAATCATACGACGAGCGCTGCAAGAGACGGATGTGCCCCCAAGCCTTGTCGCCCATGCAACTCACGCTCGCAAAGAAGAGGGAGGATGACCGAGCAGCATCACTCGTAGCCGTTGTCGACGTCGAAGTAGTGGCTGCAGGCGGAGACGCAGTGGATGTCGCCACGGACGTACTGCACTCCTCAAACCCCAAAGTTGTGGTACCAGTACCCGTCATACTGGAAGCCCCTGGCGCCTTCGAAAACGCCCTCGTAGTAGTTGTGGAACCTAGTCACGAAGCGGCCACCCCGTCGCCGCTTTGCTTGGCGGCCTGGGCGGCAGCCTCCTTCTCCCTGGCGGCGGCCTCCTGCGCCGCGAAGCGCGCCCTCGACAAACGCTCAGCCTCCTTCTTGAGCGCCTCGTCGTCGGCCTGGGTGGCCTCGGCGGCGGCTGCGCCACCGCCAGCTGCCGCAGGGGGCGCGGCGGCCTCGCCCGCGCCCGCGGCTGCAGTACCGGTGCCGCCGCCGTCGCCAGCACCCGCAGCGGCGCCGTCGGCCCCGCGGCGCTTCTTGGCCATGCGCTCCTGTACCGCCTTCTGCTCGCTCTTGACACGGTCGACGAAAGACTTCCACTCCGCGCCCTTCGCCTTGATGGTGGTCCGATAGGCCTCGAGCTCCTCCTTGAGAGCCCTGAGCTTAGCCTTCTCCGTCTCGTCGCAGTCCCACTGCTCGAAAGAGGCGAAGAGTTCCTCGTTGAGATTGAGCCCGAAACAAGCGGCCTCCGTATCGGCCTCCTTGGGCGTCGGGCGGAAGCCAGCACCCTTGGCGAGTGCTGCTGTGGCCGCCTTCTTGGTGGCCTCGCACTTGGCAACCTCCAGAGCCGCGCTCTGCTCCTTCTGCTCGGCCGTGGCCAGCTGCTTGCGCAGGCGCATGACCTGCTCCACGAGCTGACCGTGCCTATTGGTCGCCGCCTTGAGCGCCCCATCGGCCTGCTTGACCTGATCGACGTCCGAGGGAGCCGAGGCGGCCGCCTGGCTGGCGAGTCGCTCCCTCTGCGCCCTCAGCACTGCCGTGAGCTCGGCATCGGCTGACTGGGCCAACGCCTGCTCCAGCAGCGCCGCGATCTCCTGCTGCTGAGTGGCCTTGCCACCCTGGCCGCCACGGCGACCGCCGCGCGGGGTGCCCACCTTGTCGTCCTCGAAGTGCACGTGCCGATCACCTCGCTCCGAACTGGGAGACCTCGACCGACTGGGCTTGTGAACGAACAGCCGAACTTTGTGAGAACAGCGTGGACACCGATTGTCGCTCATCTGCAAGCGATCGTTGTACTCACATGTCTTGCAGTGGCTGCACCGCGACCATGCACGTTGAGGCTGCACATTCTGCGGCTTGCCCATATTGATGCAATGATTTTGCCCAGCTCTCGTTATCCTCAACTGAATGTGGGGGACAGACAGGTGAAGATATCCCTCAAGCGCCGCACGAAGGCACTGGGATGGACTAGAACACGGGCCTCCGTCGGGGCGGAGGACTTGGTGCTCGAACCCAAGTGGCTTGAGGAGGAGCAGGAGGAGGAGAAGGAGGAGGAGGAGGAGGAGGAGGAGGGGAGGAGGAGGAGGAGGAGGAGGAGGAGGAGGAGGGAGGAGGACGAGGAGGAGGAGGAGGAGGAGGAGGAGGGGAGGAGGAGGAGGAGGAGGAGGAGGGAGGAGGAGGAGCGGAGGAGGGAGGAGGAGGAGGAGGGGGAGGAGGAGGGGAGGAGGCAGGAGGAGGAGGATGAGGAGGAGAGGCGGAGGAGGAGGAGGAGGAGGAGGAGGAGGAGGAGGAGGAGGAGGAGGAGGAGGGAGGAGGAGGAGGAGGAGGAGGAGGAGGAGGAGGAGGAGGAGGAGGAGGGAGGAGGAGAGGAGGAGGCGGAGGAGGAGGAGGAGGGAGGAGGAAGGAGGCAGGAGGAGGAGGAGGAGGAGGAGGAGGAGGAGGAGGAGGAGGAGGAGGAGGAGGAGGAGGAGGAGGAGGAAGGGAGGGGGAGGAGAAGGAGGAGGAGGAGGGAGGAGGAGTGGAGGAGGTGGAGGAGAGGAGGAGGAGGAGGAGGAGGAGGAGGAGGAGGAGGGAAGGAGGAGAGGAGGAGGAGGCGGAGGAGGAGGAGGAGGAGGAGCGAGGAGGAGGAGGAGGAGGAGGAGGAGGGAGGAGGAGGAGGAGGGGAGGAGGAGGAGGAGGAGGAGGAGGAAGAGGAGGAGAGAGGAGGAGGAGGGGAGGAGGAGGAGGAGGAGGAGGAGGAGGAGGAGGAGGAGGAGGAGGAGGAGGAGGAGGAGGGAGGAGGAGGAGGAGCAGGAGGAGGGAGGAGGAGGAGGAGGAGGAGCCCCTGGAAGATGTGCGCAGGAAACTGTTGTGCAAAATTGAGCAGGATCTGCTCTCTTCGGCTCGGGATGTCTCGCTACAAAGGTGTCGTCTTCGTCATCCTCCTCCCTCATCTTCCCCCTCCTCCTCCTTTTCGCGTGCAGGTCGTTCGGCTGGAGGCCTCAGTTTGTGATGGGCTCGGCGGCGCTCTGCAGGCACAACATTACGTCTCCCCCACAATCCCACCATAATGCGTCTCTGGACACCACCACTACTGCCCACAACCCGAACTGATCATTTGAGCGGCGGCAAACGGCGAGATTGCCCCTCCAGAACAAAACAGATGCGCAACGACACGCAAATTGTTGATGCTTGTGTCCAATAGCGGTATCGCTTGGGCGGGGTGGGGCACGTCGGGGCGGGGGGTGCGCCGGGGAAGTCCAGGCCCCCCCACCTTCGTGCGATCACTACGGTTGCCTGGGGAGGGGGGGGGAGGGATTTGGCTCGAGTAGCGCCTGTTACGCGCCAGATTATACACACAAGCACAGCAATACCGCCATTGGCGTGAAAAACGCCCACCGGGCGTAAAGGTCAACGCTGATGTACTAGGAACCCCTGTGCCCCCAATTTCAATGTTAAAAACGGGGCTGTCTTGGCGGTGAAGATCTGTGCGTTTTTTCGTATGCCGATGCTTGCACCCCGACAATGGCCGCGAACGCAACATTGAAATGGGGGATCCGGGGGCGGGCACTTCGCAGTGTCGTTTCTAGATGGGCGTTTTTCACGCCAACATTAGGGACACGAACTCTATACACCGACGCTTTCTCCGACCCTGCGCTGAAATTCGCATAGGAACGTGGATCCTGGTGTATACGGGATCCTGGTGTATACATTTTTCGTTGTTTCCCCGCGAAAGCGGGAAAAAGGAGTACACCAGACCACCCCGACGTTGTCCCCGGCCCTCGAAAAGTCGTAGGATTGGAAAACGGCCCGCCACTGGTCATGTATATGTTCCAATTTCCGAAACAGCCGTATCACGGCCTTTCGGGCGCGACGAGCTCCCATCGGCGGTGGACGAACCTCCCTTGAGTGAACCTCCCCCTAGTGAAAACGGCCTGGGACCGAAACCGACGGACCTGGACCTGCAAAATGACGGCCGCGACGCCCTCCCGCCAACCGAGAACGGCCAATTACTTAATCGACGTGTCAGGGTAGGAGGTCTATCCACCTCCCCCAGCCGCTCCGCGGGGCGGCCCCATCCTCCTCCTCCTCCTCCTCCTCCTCCTCCTCCTCCTCCTCCTCCTCCTCCTCCTCCTCCTCCTCCTGGGGGATGAAAAAACGGCCCTACCTTGGGTTACAAGGTGCGCGGTCTGTAAGCCTCCTGGGGCCCAAGGACACACAAATAAGTACACACAAATAACAGGACTCCCCATATTTCCCATATTTTCCAAGTTTCTGTCTTCCCGCCCAGTTCCCATATTTTCCCCATATTTTCGGGGGAATCGACGATTAATTGTGTCTGTGTGTTCTTTCCCCTCCTGAACTTCGGCGTCCTCGTGACCCAAATGGAGGGATGAAACAACGGCCCTGCCCTGGGTTACACGGTGCGCGGTCTGTAAGCCTCCTGGGAACCCCCAAAGCCCAGAGAGCCACCGGGACGCCGCACATCACGCACGGCTTTCCCTGTCAGCCCAGAGGAGTTTCAGCGCACAGCGCCTCGTAAACCAGCGTAGGGGCGTTTTTTTATGCCCTTGACCCAAAAATGACCACCTACCAGACCACCCCAACCCAACCCGAAGACCCAGATTTTGCCCGAATCTCGGGCCAGGGGGGAGGGGGTACGGGCTTCACACGTGCTTTTCCAGGTTCGCCGACCCCCCCCCCCACACTGGAAGTGGAGGGCAAGTCGGGGCCTTCGGGTTGGGTTGGGGTGGTTTGTTGGGTGGTGAGAAAGGTGATCCAGCGGAAAGGGGGTGGTGCAGAGTATTTGCGGCAATTGTGTTGCGAATGCATTTCGCCAGTGACTTGTATTGCATTGTATTGTAGCTGATGTATGGCACTCGAAAATCCAACAATTGCATTTGCGCACCGGGCTGTATTGCACACCCCAAATCTGTTGCAACACCAGAGACCTATTGCACCAAAGCTATTGCACCACCCCCTTTTCGCTGGACCCCCTCTTGGGTCGACCAGGTGGGGACAGAACAGACAGCAGAAGCATCAACTGTCGGAGGCCCGCGCGGATTTCTTGGAGATGCGCGCTGGGCCGGGGCGCAAGAGGCGCTGCCACGGGGGGGCCCCAGCGCCGATCCCCCAAGCAAGCGGCGCGGGGCTCCAAAAACTGCGCTCACGTCACCTGGCTGCCAGGCGAGAACCCCTTCGGAATCGAGAGCACGCCAGAACACCGCGCGCACGGGGTGTCCTGCTGCGGCCGGACAGCTTCGGGATGTCCGCCGCGGCGGTCTTCCTGGGAGTGATGACTGCCCTCACGCTCTGGAGGCGCCTCTCCGGCGGGCGGATCGGAGGCCAATACGTCTTCGTGCGGTGCGCCGCGTTCGCGTCGTGACGACCCCAGCCTTGGCTTCTGATCGGCGGCGAGCGAGGGGGGTAAAGCGAGAAGGCGCGGGCCTTCTCAGAAGGCTCGGAAGTCCCCTGGCCTTCTGATGAGACATTTTCTGAGCCTTCCCCGAAGACGCTGACAGCCTCTCAGGAGGCGCGAGGTCTTCTGAGAAGTCCCGCCGCCTCCGGAGAAGGCCTTCTCCTTCCCCATTTCCTCCCCTCGCTCGCCGCCTGTCTGAGACCGTGTGCATCGTTCAACCTTGAGAACTCGGCGGTGGACAAACCTCCCTTTAGTAAACCTCCCTTTAGGGAAAACGGCCTAGAACCGAAACCGACGGACCTAGACCAGCATAAACAACGGCCGCGACGCCCTCTCGCGAACCGAAAACGGCCAATTCACTAATCGACGTAACAGGGTAGGAGGTCTGTCAACCTCCGAAGAACGATGGGCGCCCGATCGCCAGACCGTTCCATACTTACCGATTCTCTGGGCCAGCGTCGGCGCTCCCCTCACCGCTCACCAAGCCACCCCAACCCAGCCCGAGGGCCCCGATTTGCCCGCCACTTCCAGCGGGGGAAAGGGTCGGTGAGCATGGCAAAACTGAAGGGGCCCTGGGACACACAAATAAATACACAAATAAAACGATTCCCCATCTTTTCCCATATTTTTTGGGTTTTTGCCTTCCCCTCCACTTCCCATATTTTCCATATTTTCTGGAAAATCGACGATTAATTGTGTCTGTGTGTTTTTCCCCTCCTGAAAAAAACACACATAGGAAGCCCGTACCTCCCCCCAACCCGAAATCCGGTCCTTCGAGATGGGTTGGGGTGATCTGATGGGCATGAGGATGACAGTGATCGTGCTGGGAGGGAGGGCTTGGGAGGATGAGGGGCATGAGCACTTGAGCATTCGGATGCATTGAACGGCACCCTCGGCCGCCTACGGGCAAGGACAGCCTCATTCCTCCCGGCCCCATCCTCCGCCTTCGACGCCCGCGCTGGGGTCGCACGGGCCTGAACCTGAACGGTGTCTTTCGCCATCGTGCTGCTTGCGTTTTTCCCCACATCCAAAGTGGGGTTCTTGTTTTCTCTGGACACCCCGCGCAGGAACCTCCTCACCTCACCCCCTCTCCTCTTCTGTCTTCGTGCGCTCACTCACTCACTCACTAGCTCACTCACTCACTCACTCACTCACTCACTCACTCACTCACTCACTCATCAGCACTCACTCACCCACACATTCATGAACTCACATATGATGATGAGAGTGCGCGTGAGAGATTGTGATGATCATCGTCATCACCAGTCAGTCAGTCGGTCACTCACTCACTCACTCGCCTTGGGCCTCGTCTGTGAGTGAATTGCGAGGAAGTCTCAAGCGGGAGCCCCCTCCCTATGGGGCCCGCGGATCATGTTACTAACCCGACGAAGTCTCAAGCGGGAGCCCCCTCCCTATGGGGCCTGCGGATCACGTTACTAATCCGAACGGGTCATCCAATTCCTGTAACTGTCGCCACTGTTAGGCTCTCGCGCTGCCAGAACGCCACTCCCAGGCCACATTTTGAATGCCCGGAATCAACTGTAGGCCACTTCGTGTTTTTCGTGCTCCCAAAACACAATTCCCGGGCCACATTTTGAATGCCCGGAGCCAACTGCAGGCCACTTCGTGTTCTTCGTGTTCCCAGAACACCACTCCCGGGCCACATTCTGAATGTCCGGAGCCACCTGTAGGCCACTTTGTGTTCGTCGTGTTCCCAGAGCGCTATTCCCGGCACGTATCCACTGGGACGCACCCCTGTGCGCTTCCTCTGGGTCGTGCCCCCGCACGTATCCACTGGGACGCACCCTGTGCGTTTCTTTTGGGTCGTGTTCGGCACGTATCCACTGGGACGCACCCGATGATGATGTTGACGAGGTCGGGGGCAACGTAGGGAGCGGGGGGAGGGCCCGCGCCAGGGCGAGAAGAAATATACGCAGAAGCGACAGCCAGGACGCCTCACCAACCACGAGGACGACGGTGAGGGTTTTTTTCCAGATTCGCCCAAGGGGTTCTCATGCGGGGTCCTTCCGTCGGAGTAATCCCTCGTTTTTTGTCTTCAGTCCACCTCTACCGCAAAACGAAACCGAAACGAAAACGGCCGAAAGAAATCGCCAAAACACTCGGGGATCTTCTGACCGCGGGCCTCGGGTGCGCGGGTGCGCGGGGCGCTCTCCCTGGCCAGCGGGGGCCGCGGCTCGGCACGGGGAGGGGCAGCAAAAGGGGGGATAGGGCGGGGGGAGAGAGAGAGGAGGGGGGAGAGGATGGCGGGAGAGGAGGGGGGAGAACGAGCAAGGGGGATAGGGGGGGGAGAACGAGCAAGGAAGGGGGAGAACGAGCAAGGGGCAGCAAGGGGGATAGGGGGGGGAGAGAGGAGGGGTGAGAGGAGGGGGGAGAGGAGGGGGGAGAGAACGAGCCAGGAGGAGGAAGAGGTGGAAGCTGTCAGCAGTCCTCCTCCTCCTCCTCCTCCTCCTCCTCTTCCTCCTCCTCCTCCTCTTCTCCACTGTCCTCTTCCTCCTCTCAACCACCCTCTCGGATTCCCGGTGTTTGCCAAAGAGCAAAACCACCAACACCGCACCGCATGATTCCAGATTACGCGGTAGCCATGCGAAGCTGGACCACTGGAGAAGAAGATGAAAAATGATATAGCTTTATATATATATACACGAAACTGCATTGGCGTTGCGCGCCATGCACCTTGGCCCTTTGGAATTCGCACGATAGCGGAGTGCGAGCGTGCGTACATGCGCACACACATGCGTCGATGAATGCATAGTACATATGCGTATCTATATATATATATATATATATATATGTATACGTTTGTATGGATATGTACATGTATATGCAAATGGTCAGTGTAACGATGTGTGCGCATGCACATGCGTATATCAGGCGGTACTGGCCTGACCAGTTGCTCATATCATCGCGCCACTAAAAAGCGCGAGGGTCTCAGGCAAACGTGGTCCGACTACCGCGGGGCAGTGCGTCGCCGAGGTCAGTGTTGCGAGGACGTCCCGGGTGAAAATGTCCTGAACACCTCCGCTCAGGGGAGGGCATATCCGGAGTCGGCCGTGCGAGGAAGTTTTAAACGAGGGGTGGTCTGAACACCTCTGCTCAGGGCATCCTTGAAATTCGAGTTGCGAGAAGTCGCACGCGAAAGTGGCCGAACCACCATGGTGCAAGGCACCTCCGATGTGAGACTTGCGAGAGTGTCTCAGGCGACAGTGGCTGGAACACCTCAACTGAGAGTGTCTCGGGCCCCGGAGCTGCGATGATGTCTCAAGCGAAAACGGCGGGACCGATGCGAAGCAAGGCGCTTCTGAGGTCGGAGTTGCGAGCATATCTCTGGCGAAGCAGATTGGACTACTTTCCGTTATCTCCTCTTCCTCCTTCCCCTTTTCCTTTTCTCCTCCTCCACAATTACTCAATATGAAAATACTCTCCCTCTTCCCCTGATGGCGTCCGGGTGATGGCCGCGCACCCTCCGCGTGCTGTTTTTTTACATACAGGATTCCCGGGAAATCCAGGGAAACGACTCTTGCTGAGGCGCCGGCGTCATTTTTTCCCAAAATGCTGCTCTCGTTGAGGCGCCGGCTTCATTTCTGCTCCCGAATCGTTCCGAATCGTGCTCCCGCTGCAGCGTGGGCCTCATTTTCGGATCGGTGCTTGGCCTCCGTCGTTCAGGATGGCGTTCTCGCCCCAGCGCGGGCCTTTTTCTCGCGCGCCCATCCGCCCGCCACCGCCGCGCCGCACCGCCGCCGCCACCACCACCGCCACCACCGCCACCACAACCACCACCAGCACCAGCACCAGTACCAACACCACCACCACCAGCACCACCGCCAGCACCACCAGCACCACCACCACCATCACCACCACCACCACCACCACTACCACCGCCACCGCCACCACCACGACAACCACGCACGCACGCGCGCGCGCACGTGCACCACCACCCACTACGCACGCGCGCGCGGAGCCACAGGTCCGCTACGACACGCGTCCGCGGATAGAGAAAATCAGCGCCATGGTAAGGGATGGGAGGGAGGGGTAGGACGTCAGATATGACGCGAGCGCACCTAGCTTGTCCTCCTCCCCCTCCTCATCTCCGCTTTTTTTTTGTTGTCCATTCTCCCCATCCCTGGCGGCGCGGCGCGGTGCCGCTCGGCCTCTCTGCGAGTCAAGCGGCAAAGGGTGAGAGAACCCCCCCGAATTAGGAACGGTTTTCCCAAGCCGCCAAGGGGGCCCGAAGGTAGTGCAAGAAGCGGTGGAGGTTTTGAAATCCCCCAGGGGCTCCTCGGATTCGGCCGGCCCTCTCCGGTAAGGTAGGCAAGGGCACCGCGTCCAGGTGCTGAATCCCCCGTGTCCCCCTCCCCTCGTCTTCGTTCCCTCCTCCACGTCCCCCTCCTCCTCGTCCTCGCCCCCCTTTTCCCCCTCATCCTCCTCCACAATTACTCACTATGAATACTACTCTCCCTCTTCCCCTGATGGCGTGCTGGGAGTAGCCGACCCCCCCCCGCGTCCTGCTTTTGTACACGCAGGATTCCCGGGAGTTGGGTTTTC